GGAGGAGGAGGAGGCGGAGGCGGAGGAGGAGGAGGAGGGGGAGGAGGAGGAAGGGGATGATGATGATGAGGAGGAGGAGGAGGCTCCGTCCTTGATGGGCAAACCACAGATCCATCGTCTCCCGCCTCGCGTACTCGAAGGCCGCCTGCTCGCTCGGCGTGCGGCCCGGCGCGGGCAGGAGGCGCCTGCATCCGTGCGCGGGGGCGCGGCTCCCACCCGACATTCCGCAGGAGAGCTCAGCATCGAATCGATAGTCGTCATCATCAGCATCAGCATCAGCATCAGCGTCAACATCAGCATCACCATCAACATCATCATCATGATCAGCATCATCATCATCGTCGTCATCATCATCACCATCATCATCCGCAGCAGCAGCACCACCACCATCATCAGCATCATCAGCATCCGCATCATCATTAGCAGCAGCAGAAGCATCATCATCACCAACATCAGCATCATCATCAGCATCATACTCATCATTACCATAGACAGCAACATCATCATCACCATCACCATGACCATCATAATCATCATCATCAGCAGCATCAGCATCGTCATCACCATCACCATGTTCATTATCATCACCATCACCATCGCCATCAGCATCAACACCATCACCATCACCATCACCATTAGCATCAGCATCATCATCATCATCACCATCATCAGCATCAGCATCAGCATCAGCATCAGCATCAGCATCATCATCATCATCATCATCACCATCATCATCATCATCATCATCATCATCATCAGCATCAGCATCAGCATCAGCATCATCATCATCAGCATCAACATCATCATCCCCAGGGAGGGGCAATGTTAGCAGGAGATCCCATAATCGAATCGACAAGTCGAAGCGGCGATCAAAACGAATCGGATCGGCGGAAATCGGCGCCCGAGTCGGGAGGAGTCGACTCGGGGGAAATCGGCAGGCTCGTATGCCTCCGATGCGGAGCCCAAATCGGAATCCCATCGGAATCGAGAACCAAAACCGATAATCGAGATCGGAGCCAAAACCGGAGCCACAGTCGCATCGAATCGGGCTCGGAAGCCGTCCAAGGCGCATCGAATCGAATCCGAGGCATGGAAACCAGCCCTGCGACGACTGGGAGGGCGCCGGCTCGGGGGGGGGCATCCTTGGCCTGGCGGCGAATCGGCGATACACCTCGCCGGGGCAGACCGGCGCGGCAGGCCCTGGGCAGCGGAGCCGCTCGCTCCTGGACAGGACGGGGGCCATCGGGGCCCCGCGACGGGGGAGAGCGGGCGATCGGGCGTCGACGCTTCCCCCCCGAGCCTCTCCCCCTCTGACGTTGCGCCTGACCCAAGAGGGCGTCAGGGCCGTGCACGGCGAGGACGGCGAATCCGCACGCTCCTGGACAGGACAGGACAGGACACGACGCCCAAGCCCAATCGACGCATCCCCCCTGAGTCTCTCCCCCCAGCTAGAGGCCTCCTAGATGGGGTCCGAGCAGATGGGATCCGAGGATCACGCCGCATCGCCGATGCATCGGCCATGCTTTGGCGACGTCGGCGATACATCCACGACGTCGGCGTGGAGAAAATTGGGCCCCACTTCGAGCCGCATCGCCGAAGCATCACAGATGCCGCGCGTTCCTCCGACCCATCTACTCCGACCCCATCTAGGAGGCTTAGACTAACGTTTCCCCTGATCCAAGAGAGCGTCAAGGTCGTGCACGGAGTCCCAACGTCTTGACGAGGTGAAGGCGGCCTTTTGATGGCAAGTTCTTGCTTGTGGGGCCATGGCCAAGCCCTGGGACTGCCAAAACGAACGACTCAGAATGGAGTACCGGCCCTCGGGCAAAGGGGTCGGGACATCCAGGGGCTCCGCCTTGCACAGATCAATACATAGGATCTCTGAAGGAAACACATAATTGTACATCGTCTCCACCTCGTCCGCTTGGGGGGGGGGAAGGGGAGGGGAGGAGAGGGGAGGTGGCTGGAAGATCGGATCTAGCTGGAATCTAAGTGGCCGGTTACCCTGGATGTAAGAGCACCTTCGACCGGGTGTGACTTCTGCCAGGTGTGAGGAGGGAGGGGCGGGGGCGATGAATAAGAAGAAGAAGAAGAAGAAGAAGAAGAAAAAGAAGAAGAAGAAGAAGATGAAGAGGAGGGAGGCGGAACGAGCTCGGGGCGAGGAGGGAGGGGGGGTGAGGGAAGAGGAAGCACCCCCTCTCGCCCCCATTCCTCCCTCCGCCTGCTCGTCGCCCGCTCCCCGCCCCCCCCCTCTCCTCAGACCTCGCTCATCGCCGGCTCCTCCCGATCTGGGGGCGCACCTCGCTCGACGAAGCCGACGTGTGCTGCAGAGGGTGTGGGTCCTCTAGTGACGAACCAACAACACACACCCATGCCCATAGGGGGGTCGGGGAGGGCTATGGGTGCGTGTTGTCGGATGGGGGTCCCCGCTCGGACGGGAGCGTTCCCCAGGGTTCGACAACCCGCACCCATACCCATAGCCAGTCCTCCTCCCAACGACCTCCCTATGGGTATGGGAATGTGTGTGTTGTTCGTTCGTCCTCTAGGGCTCTGGGGAGGCGTGGCGCCCAGCCACGCGCACGAATGCGGCCCCCGGGTCCGCGAGGACAGCCTGGTGGTATCGCACGCGCGAACGCACACGAGTGCCCTCGGGATCCACAACAAGTCATGCACGCGCGCGCGCTTTTCTTCGCTCCTGGGTGGGGATGCCCAAACAGCCCACTAAGGTATCATGCCCCAAAGAAGAATCGGCTCGGGGTTGGGAAGAGAGAAGCGAGGGTGCGACTGAGGGATGGAAGTAACATCACCCAACATCGAATCGGAAAACCACGCATCGGATTTGAAGAACTCGGTGAGCAGATCGGAAAACATCAAGATCGGAACATCGAAATCGACCCGCGCTGGGCTAGCCGCTCTCCGGAAGCGCATCGGACCGAAATCGAGATCGTCGATATCAAATCGATGCGACTCGACAGGGCCGAAATGCCTGCGGGCGGGCTGGGGGAGGCCAGAGGCGGAGAAACCAGAGGGAGGAGGAGGAGGAGGAGGAGGAGGAGGAGGAGGAGGAGGAGGAGGAGGAGGAGGGAGGAGGAGGAGGAGGAGCTAATCTCCAGCATGGAAGTGGATGTTCAGGCCGCTACTGGAGTGCACCGTCCGGTCTATTTGCACTTGAAAGCTGTGGTCAAAGACATCCAGGTGCAGATCCCAGTAGCTTTCCAGAAGCTTACTTCGGTTCCTGCCAGGGGCCCCCCAGTCCAGCCTCCCAGCTATGAAGTGCTCATGACAGAGCTCTCCGACCTCATAGCTAGGCACACCGATGATGCCAATCAAATTTGGTCTCTGGCAGGATACGATGAAAGGCGCGCTGAATGCCGTGACATCCTAGACAGGTGCTATACGGATTGGGTGCAAAAGGTGCGCACTGAGATTTTGGATGCCACGCAGTCTGAGGCTTCTGGACCCCATCCTGGACTTGGAATGCCGGTCAAAACAATTTCGTTGCATCAAGTTCTCAGGACCAAAAGCTACCGTAAAGCACAACCCCATCGTGCAGTAGTATGGGCCAGACAACGTCTTCAGGAGCTCAGAGCATTGTTTGACAAGCAGCCCTTCTGCAGGACCTCTTACCTCCTCCACTTGCTTCGCAAGACGATAGGTCTATCTCGTAATGTAGGTGGACCTTTTGCTAAATATTGGAAGGATGCTCATGTTTTCTGGAACAGTCTGATGTCCAGAACCGCTGCTCAGTGTCTTCTCTTCTTAGGCGCGCCGAAATCAGCAGCGGCAACTTGTACTGCAGTTTTAGAGTTCGTCCAGTTCTTCGAAACTCAGGCGATGGTCTCCCAGCAGTCCCAGGATCGCTCTTCCTGGAAAGCCTGGTGTGAGGAAGCTATGAGCTCGACCACGGGCAAAGCGGTATACGCGTATCTCAAAGGCAGAGGCGAGCAGTCTGTTGAGGTGGTTGAAGATGATGCTGGATACACCTCCTGTCTAACCAGTCACCTTACGTCTCAGACATCGTTGTACTCTTCGATTTGGAATGCAGCTTCCGAGCCCATGCCAGAACCAGAGAGTCTTCAAAATAGGCCGCCGATGCCAATTCTGAGCCCAGTCTCGGAAGAGTCCATCAGGAAGGCCTCCAGCACCTTTAAGCATGCTACGTGTCAGCCTGATGGGCTGCATCCTCGTCATTTCTCGATGGTAAGCGCCGGCGGAAGAAATGTCATGGCGAGCCTCTTCACGGTAATGGATATCCTTGGGGAAGTGCCGAAACCTGTTCAGAACTTGCTTATGCTTTTAGCCAGAAAGCACAAGGGTCCTGGACGCCGTACTCTGGGTTTTTATCCCGGGTTTTACCGTGTCAAAGGAAAGCTGATGGCACGGGAGCTCCAGAAGACACTGTGTGGAGGCAAGCAGCGCGTGCTGAAGCGTCAGCCCTTGCTGGCATGAAGTTCCTAACTTTGTTATGGGACATCAAGAGTTTTTATGACTACGTCAGTCATGATCTGTTGGTGCAGCAATGTCCCAGTACCAGGTACCCGTTCCACGTGATGGCTCTGTCTGTCCATTCTTACCGATGGCCTCGAAGGCTACTCCTCGACGGCATCTGTGGCGACCAACTTTGGGCAGGGAACGGAATCGTGGCAGGATCAGCGCCGGCAACTTTCGAAGCCAAGCACCATCTCCTGCCCCTGACGGATGGAGTAAGTGTGCCAGGAACGTCCAACACTGTTCATGTAGATGATCTGGGATTGTTTTCGTGGGCTTTTGCGACAGAAGATTGCGTGAGCAACATGCGCAAGTTGGCTACTATGCTTCTGCACGGTCTACAGGCTATGGGTCTTAAGCTAGCGATCAAGAAAGTCATGTGCACCGCGAGTGACACAGAGCTCTTGAAAGCATCCATGGCCAGCTTAGATAAGCAGTTTGTTGGAACAGCTACTGATGCCGCCCCGAATCTTGGCATAGACTTCACCAGCGGCAAGCACAAGAGGAGACCAGGGGCAAACCGGGTTCGTCGCTTACGATGGCGAAAAACCTTGTCCCGCCACTCCAGACTCAAAGGGATGAAAACCTCTGGGGGCCTCAAAAGGAAATCCCAGTTTAGTTTTTTTTTTTTTTTTCAGACGGGTGTGAAATCGGCCCAGGTGTATGGAGCCGCTGTCCATGGCTTCACCCCGCACGA